AGTGTTCGAATATCGATGGTGTGCGATAGTAGGTTGCTGACTCTATACTGTTCTTCACGATGCAGCTTTGAACGGATCACTTGATGTCATGAAGTACTTGATCAGTCATCGTTACTGTGATCCAAAGGCTACTAGCAATAGTGGTCAGACTGTTCTTCACCTTGCTGCTAGACACATTGATATTATAAAGTATCTCATTGATGAGTGTCACTGTGATCCAATGGCTACTAACAATAGTGGTGAGACTGTTCTTCACTGTGCTGCTGATCACATTGATATCGTAAAGTATCTCATTAATAAGTGTCATTGCAATCCAATGGCTATTGATGCATATGGATATACTGTTCTTCACAGAGCAGGATCACTTGATGTCATGAAGTACTTGATCAGTCATCATCACTGTGATCCAAAGGCTACTACCAATAGTGGTCAGACTGTTCTTCACTGTGCTGCTAGACACACTGATATTGTAAAGTATCTCATTGATGAGCGTCACTGTGATCCAATGGCTACTAACAACGCAGGTGAAATTGTTCTTCACTGTGCTGCTGATCACATTGATATCGTAAAGTATCTCATTAATGAGTGTCACTGTGATCCAATGGCTGCTACCACAAATGGATATACTATTCTTCACAAGACAGGATCACTTGATGTCATGAAGTATTTGATCGGTCATCATCACTGTGATCCAAAGGCTACTACCAATAGAGGTTATACTGTTCTTCACTGTGCTGCTAGACACATTGATATTGTAAAGTATCTCATTGATGAGTGTCACTGTGATCCAATGGCTACTAATGAATTGGGTGAAACTGTTCTTCATCGTGCTGCTAATCACATTGATATCGTAAAGTATCTCATTAATGAGTGTCACTGTGATCCAATGGCTACTGACTCTAACAACAAGACAACTCTTCATAAAGCAGCTCAAAGAGATTCATCTGATGTAGCTAAGTATCTCATTAATGAGAAACACTGTGATCCAATGACTGTTGACAGTCTCGGGCAGACACCTCTTCACATTGCTGCTTATTGGAATAATCCTGCAGTTGTTGAATATTTACTATCAACTGGTAAATGTGATCCATTGGCTAAAGACTACAAGGGGAAAACACCATTACAACTAGCTAAGAGCAACTGGCGTAGCAAGATGTTTTGGCCCACTTTTATGAACTTGCCGGACAGTACTCTTCCTATTTTTAACAAGTTTGGTGATATAAAATCATCTCATCCAATTGATTCTTATGTTAACGTCCTCCTTATGGGTAATCCTGGAGCTGGTAAAAGTACTCTCAGTCATGTCATCAATGACACAGCTACTAGTTCATTTATTCTTGGCTCTTTTAGAAATGCTGGAGATGTGAAGCCCTGTACTGCTGGCATCATTCCTTATAAACTACAACATAGGGAACTGGGTAACATCATTCTTCATGACTTTGCTGGTCATTCAGAATACTACTCCAGTCACAGTGCTGTCATTGAGAATCTGTTACAAGGTTCTGGTGGTGTGTTCCTAATAGTAGTCAATATATTGGAGAAGGAAGCAGTCAAACAGCTTCATCAGTGGCTAACAGTTGTGAGAAATGAAGCACATAAAGCTCTTAATCAATGCCATGTTATTGTAATAGCCAGCCATATGGATGAGGTAAGGGATGAGGTAAGTAATCTTGTTGAATGGAGAAAGGAAGAAATACAGAAGGTCATTGTAAGGGAAAAGTGTGATAGTGTCTTCTTAGATTGTCGTAAGCTTGGTGGGAGTGGTTTGGATTCCCTCTTTAAAATGTTGTCTAGTGCCTGTGAGTCCATTCGTAGTACAAGTGGAAGGAATTTGAGTCTTTATTGTCGCATGATGTATGGTCTACTGGAGGAAAGGAAAGAGAATATACTGACCCTCTCTGATGCAATATCTGCTGGTAAGGACAATAATGATTACATTTTACCAGCTTGTGATGACATTTGGAATGTTCTTCAGTCGTTGCATTCAACTGGTTTGATCAGTGTTCTTAAAAGTGAAGACAAGGTATGGGTTGTTGTGAATAAGGGTATACTACTAACCGAGGTGGATGGGATTCTCTTTGCTCCAAAGACATTCAAAGAACACGTTGACATTGCTAGCAATACTGGTATTGTTAGTGTGTCTGGTCTGACTAGACTCTTCCCTAAATATGATCCTGACATGTTGATCTGTTTTCTGAAAAACATGGAACTCTGTCAAGAAATGAACCCATCTTTTCTAAGAATGACAAACTTC